CAGTGGATACACCGAGAGTAAAATGTACAACTCCATGACAAGTTTCTACACTTTGGTATCTAGCAAGCAAAACACTACTCCATGTCGACATTTTGAACCCTTCTCTAATAATCGTCCTCGTCCTCCAGCAGCTTGGCGTAATCCTCCGCGGAAGCAAACGTCGGGAGGTGCTTGAGTTTTCTCTTCTTCTTGCCTCTCTTGTCGCCTTCGTCTTCAGTCTTGCCCTTCTTCTTGGGCGCAGACTCCTCCTCGTCTTCCCAGTCTGCTTCGTCATCTGGAATTCCTTCTAAGTCGCTTGGTAGCTCTTCGTCGGAGCCCAAAAATGCACCCTCGTCGGCGCTGTCCAGCTCCAAGTCATCGCCCTCCTCTGCCCCTTCCTCAGTGTCTTCCATCTCTTCATCGTCATCCGGTGCGTCGGCAATGACAACACCACCGTCTTCGTCATCTTCGTCGTCGTCGCCCTCGCCCATAGCATCCTCCAATGCCTCCAGGTCGTCGTCGCTCTCATCGTCTCCAGGACCTTCAACCTCGGGCCTGCTACCCACAAGGGCCTTCCAAATCTCATCCTCTTCGGCATCGCTGCCCTCTGCATCCTCGCCCTTGTCCTTGCCCTTCTTCTTCTTGTCTGCTGCCGCCTTCTTTCCGCTCGTCTCGAAGTACTTGTGAAAGAAGACCTCGTCGGCAGGGACCTCTTCGACCTTTTTGCGCCAGAATGCTTCGCTGTTGACTGGTGCTTCTGCGCGCGCTCCATCTCTGGTGCGGATTAGTAGGTCAGCACCAGTGGCACCGGCCATGGGCTGCATGATACTCGTGCCCTTGCCAGTCGTCGGCTTGGACTTGGCGTTGCGGTACGCAAAGCGATCGAGGAAGTGCATGAGCGTGTGCGAGCTAGGGTCGGGTTTGGGCGGCATTTCTTGGTCGTGGAGGAAGCGCGTGGCGAAGAGGGTGACGGAAGGGTGGAAGTGTGTGGCAAAGGGAAGAATTTCCCAGAGACAGGCGAGGTCTGCGTGGGCATGGTCTGGGTCGCGCTTGCGGCCATCATAGTGTAGACTGTTTTGCGGTGTCTTGGAAGGTTTCGGGGCGTCGCTTGCGCCGGCGTCTTCTGGTTCTGAAGGTGCATCGACAAAGTGCTCGTCCTCGTCGTCGTCATTCATCTCCGGCGTCGAAAGCATCGTCTTGATGCTGGGAAAGACTTTGGTGAGTTCGTAGATTAGGTAAAGGACGCTCGTGACAAACGGCGGCTCGTGAAGGGTGATGATTTGCAAAAGACGCTTTACAAAGGCCTTGACACGCTTGATGCTGACGTCGGCCTTGAGCGATTTATACAGCAAATTGAGGTACATGATTTGTTTGGAGGAAGTGAGGAGGCGGGGGTCGAGGAGAGATTCGTAAAGGGTTCGGTAGAACCTGTCGGTGGTAAAGTGCTTGGCCGCCGAGATTTGCTGAATCAAGACCAAGGCTTGCATGGCAGTGTTGAAGTTGGAAGAGTGGGTGATGCGGAAGATGGTGTCGAGTTGCTTTTCAAAGACCTCGTCGTCGGTTTTGGCGTATGGGAACGCGCGGTTGACACCCGTCAGAATCGCAGCAATAAGCTTGTCTGCCAATTCAGTCTCCTGTTTGCCAGCCAACTCTTGCGCCTTTTGCTGCTTTTGTGCTTTTTGCGCCGCCTTCTTTCCCGGCTTGCCACCGCCTCCCTGGTTTGGGTTCTGATATGGCTTTTGACCCTCGGAACCTGGCTTGGGGCTCTGCTTCAAAAGGCTCAGAAACAGGCTGAAGTAAATCTCCATCAGTTTGTTCGCAACTTCCTGTTCCTTTGTGCTCAGAATGGTTTGGTTGAGTGTGATGATGGCGTAGTATTTGGCATGTTGGCTTTGGTGTGGTCGGAATAAAAGCTCGGATTCAATGGACCCAATGACGACGCTCTTCATGACGGGATGAGAGATTTGGAGCTGGAGGAGCAAATGCGACGCTCGCGATGCAATCTTCTTTTCCTTGTCACCGAGCTTGTTGACAAGCAGCCTAAGCAAGTTCTCTTCTTGCTCGGGCTTTTCCTTGAGCAGCTCGTAGACGTATGTAATGGACCGGCTCCGCGAATACTCGATTTCGTCGTTACACCAGCTCTCCAACACCTTGAGCAGCTCGAAGTACTGCTTTTTCAGCCAATCTTCGTAAGCCCAAAAAACGAAGTGTACTTCTTCGACGCCTGGCGGCAGTCTTTGGCCCTGTCTCCAATTCGAGTTTGCCCCAGAAAATGCGGCGAGCAGAGCAGGCTGCTTGGTGAAAGAGCGCAGCTTGCGCTCGGGCGGCAAGACGACACCCGAACCAAGCAAGTCTTTGAGTGCACCAAGAGCCATGAGCGCCTGGTGTCTGCTCTTTTTCTTTGCCAGTCCAAGCAAATTCTCAAACGCCTTGGTAGCGTGCACCGGTGACTCTTGGATGACCAAGGTCAGGGCGGACACCTTGTCTTCCAGCGTACCGGAGGCCGTGATGGTGGACAAGAACTTGTGCGACGAGTCGGCCGACATGTTGCTGGTGGCGTATGTCTTGTTGTCTTGCTCCAAAAGAGAGTCGGCATACTGCTGGAGCTCTTCGAGAACATGGCGAGGCGGCGGAACGACTTGGTCGGGAATCGGAATCTCGGGGAGTTCAGCAGCGTGCCAGTCTGGTCTTGGTTTGAAAATCTACAGACGTCAGCGAAGTAGAGAGGTCGGAGAGCGGGAAAAGTACCAGAGTCGCCTTTTTCTCGTCTCGACCGGATTTGCCATGGTGCTCGTTTCGTCCTGGTTTGCCAAAGTGCTGGCCCTTGTGACCATGACCAGCCTTTTCATTTTTCCAGGGCTTGTCGGAGCCGTGACGCGACTCGGATGCCGTCCTCTTTTTCCCCATGGCGATAATGTGCGGTGATGGACTTGAACCAGACGCGGAGAGTCGCGTACCGCAACAGAAAATTGTTGCCAAGAGCCGGCAGATCGACGGGCCGGGGTCCCTGCAGCGGAGCTTCGTTTCTGCCCCGCGCTAGCTCGACCTTGACGTTGCAGTCATTCCAGCCCAAACAAAGGCTCCAAAAATCAAAGGGCCCGTCTCAACGTCGCTCCGCCTCGAATAGCCCGTCGAAAACACTCGTCTCGGCATCAATGGCTGAAGAAAAGAAGATTTCAATTACTCCGCTCCTCAAGCGCCTCTGGCCGGACTTGCCAGACCCAAATGCCCCGCCGGTGGCCGCCAGCGAAATTGCCCTGGCTATTTCGCACATTTTTACCAACAGCCTTTCTCCTGTCCAGACTGGTGCGCTGTTGACTGCGCTTCATTTCAAGGAACATGATCGCAAGGCCGAAGTGCTCTTTCGTTGCGCGGGCGCCATGCGCGACGCTGCGGCACCAGTGGACAAGAAGGCATTGCGCGAAGTTTTGCGAGACAATTCTCTCAAGGAGGGTGCATACCGCGGTGGACTGGTATGGTATGCCCATTGAGCGACGGGCGCGAACCAGGACAATGGCGCTGACGTTCCGTTGCAGTGCGACATTGTAGGCACGGGGGGTGACTCACACAACACCTACAACGTATCCACGACCTCTTCGATCCTGGCCTCATCGCTGCTGCGCCTGAGCAAGCATGGAAATCGCTCGTCTACCTCCAAATCTGGCTCGGCCGACCTCCTTGACAATACCAAGCCGCGTGCTCCCGTGCTGAGCGGCGTCAATCCGGACACCTTGGCTGCCATTTACAATGAGACCAACTATGCGTTCCTCTTTGCGCCTACATTCCATCCCGCGATGAAATATGTCGCACCAATCCGCAAAGAGCTTGGCTGGCGCACAATTTTCAATTTGCTGGGACCCCTCACCAATCCCGTGGAGTCGCTCATTGAAGCCCGCGTCATTGGCGTCGCGCGTCGGGATGTCGGTCCTGTTTTTGCAGACGTCTTGAAAATGGCGGGCGCGAAGAAGGCCCTCATAATCTGTGGCAATGAGGATCTGGACGAGCTGTCGTGCGCAGGGCCCAGTCAGTGCTGGATGCTCAAGGAGCGGCCCAACCCTGAATTCCGCGGGCCCAAGGACGAGGAAGATGAGGAGTACACCACGTCGGACGACGATGCGCCGCCGCGGACGCTGGTTGAAATTGAGCATTTCGAGGTGACGCCCGAGGACTTTGGCCTGCCGCGGCACCCGTTGACGACGGTCAGCCCGGGCAAGGAAGCCCACGAGAACGCTGCCATCTTGATGCGCCTGCTCAAGAACGAGCTCCCCAAGGATGACCCGATTCTGCACTTTGTGCTGATCAACACGGCGGCCTTGTTTGTTGCAAGCGGCATTTGCGAGGCTGACGAGAGCAACATGGGCTCTGGTGATGACGGCAAGGTTATCACCGAGAGGGGTCCTGGTGGGATGAGGTGGAAGGAGGGTGTAAGAAGAGCGCGCTGGGCCATTGAGAGCGGAGAGGCGTTCAAGCAGTGGGAGTCGTTTGTCGATGTGACCAACAGGGTCAGCAAGGCATAGTCGGGATCCCCTGCACATAGGAGCTACTTGACGTGTGACCATCTTGCGATTAATGGATATTGCAATTTGTTGGTTGATTTTCAAGACCGAAGGTTGAAATCGGGCTGTTCAAAAATCAAACGCTTTTTCCCTCCTGATACTTGAGAGAGCGAGATACTGCGCCGTCACTTGTTCGCTGCACGTAGTGTTCAATACCTTCCTACCTTCCATCTCCCTGGGCTCGTCGTAATCGAACACGAAGACGGGCCAGACCCGACTGCCTCCATTGCCAATGCGACGCTCTTTTTGAGCTCAGTCCCTTCCTCTGTCTCGCAAAAGGCAGATTTCGCATTGGTCAGCTCACGCTGGGTGTGCCACTATCTATTATCACCACCGCGGGCGTGTTCTGACCATCCCCTGACGGCAAGCCCCTGGCCCGATGACTTCAAAGCCCCACAACATCATCTGGGACCACCCATGGGTAGAATTTTATTTTTTCAAAAAAAAAAAAACAAAAAGAATGAGCGACGCCTGCAGGATTCGAACCTGCGCCTCCGAAGAGAATAGATTTCTAGTCTATCGCTATAACCACTCAGCCAAAGCGCCGATTTGTGGAAGATAGATTTGGGATTGCAAAATATAGATTGTTAATTTGGCTCCATTGCAAAGCTGCAGGTCAACACCACATTTTCGACCGCCAGATCCGCGACGCAGATACCCACATTTCGACGAACCAATTGGATCATCTGTTCGACGGCTGAATTATGTGCGTACCCCCCGCCTGGCGCCCGCAAGGGGCCGAGGTAGCTGCCGATTCGGTCGCAATGGTTTTTTCGCACCTTCACTCTGAAAAATGGCACGCCACCTTCTAGCATTGTGATACATTTCATGAACAAATTGATTGAGTAATTGCAAAAAGAAACATGGTGAAAAGACTCGGTTCAACAAAAATTGCTTTCTATTCACTTGAACACAGTCCATTCTACCTTTGACTACCTGACCAGAAGCCAATTCAGATGGCCAAAATGTGAGCAGCTACGACGTGGGTTGGTTGAACAAACTTTTGTTTTGGCCTGCAAAAATGAAGCGAAGCGAGGAGCGGATCACTTTTCGGCGGCGGGCCGTCGCGTCCGGGGATCGGCAGTCGCGTCGGCGCGCGTCGGCGCGTCGCCCGTCGGCCAGAGCAGCAATGCTGTGATGCGACAACTGAACCGCATCCAACTTTCGCGAACCACGCCCAGTCGCCAATTGATCGCTCAATCGACTTTCGCATGGCCAATTGACCCCATCTCCACCGAGTCGCAAACTTTCCGCGCCTCACCTCGCTCCAAACCGTCTCGAACCATCACCGCTTCTGCATCGCTTCACGCACCTTTCACCAGCTTCACTCGCCTTCGGCCGCACCAAGACCTCCAAGACCTCCAAGAATAACCAGAGGACGACCCTGCAGACTGCGACAATCTCCGACGTTGCCCAGACGCCGAGTCTTCAGCCCAATCATCTGCTCCTTGGCTGTGTTTCCTCAGGCGCTGGCCACCGCCCGAGCTCACCTCCATCGACTCTACAACTCGCCAGTGCGGACCGCTAGCCCTACAAGCCGCCACGGCGAGCTCCGCCTCGTCCCCCGATGCCGAGCCTTCAGCCCAATCCATGCATGCTTGGCTGCTTCTCTTGTATCGACGTCCACGATGCCGGGAAAGATGCCGGACGTGATGTCGGCTGAGCGCGTCGCGTCTTGCGCTTCGTGACGAGTGATTGGAGTCCTGTCGTCTGCTCCACGAGCTCCAGGTCGCTTTTGCCACACAACATGCCAAACATCACCGGCACCTTTCGCAGCGCGGCGGTCGGGGCCTCGCCTGCTTTTCACTTGCCGGAGAGTGTCGCCTGGGCACAACCGAGTACATAAAAAAATGGAGGCTATGCCAGCGTTGGACAGCTTGAGATGTTTGGCCGATCGCTCGAAGAAATCGCCGCGGGAAGACCCATTTGTCGGAACTAAAGGAGTTGCAAATTACGGCCGATGATGGTCTCGCCTCCATCTCGAACGAAATGTGAGATGCCTCCCACGTTTTTCCCAAACTCACACCGGTTCGTCGCTGACTGAATTCACCAGAAAGAAGCTGAGATCGTCGACAGATGTGGCTGCGGGGCCAGACTCTCCATCTTCAGCATCGCATTCTTCACAAATCGCCATTGTCGATCAATGTCAATGTCTGGAGCATTCCCACTAAGCACCGTCGATCTCCACAGTACAACCGCCGCCGCACATACGACTTGGTTGATCGAACTCGACTCTTTCACTCACGCAACTCTTCCTATCGCGTCGTCGGCCGATTTGGCCAGTTTTGAGGCAATTGGCAAGTCGTGGCAGCCGTCCCTTGCTCTGCCGGCTGCGCAAGCCTTCAACACACAATGGAGCTGTGCATATGTTGTCAGCTTGGTTCGTTCCTCGTTAACTTGGCAGCGGTCGCAACCATGTGACTAGCGATTGAAGACCCGCGTATATCATTCTAGCTCCGGTCGGCATGCCTCCGAATTGGCACAGAGACTCCCGGGCAACCACTTCCAGTCCATTCGGGCTTACGTGCGGCTGCTTTTCGCCCAAGGTCTTGGGGGATTATAAGAGAGCGCGACGAGTGATCGTTACTGGAGCAGGGCAGAACCGAAGCAGAGCGACTTGGCTTCTGCAGCTCTTCTCTCACTCTTTTTCCTCGGCTTTTTGTTGCCAGTCTTTTTTTTCTCTGTTTCAGTCTCTCCTTCACAGTCACTCGCTCAACAGTCGTCTTCGTCGTCTGCGTTGAATTCACCTCCAGTTTCGCGTCGCTTCGCCCGCAATCATGCGCCTCCCCAAGAAGGTGCTCTTGGCCATTCTGGCCACGCTCCTTCAGCAGGCCACGACTGCCCCGACCAACAACGAGGAGAACGCCAACTTCAGGAACTTCAAAGCCCGGGATGGCGAGCTCGTCAAGCGCCAACTTCTTGGCTTGAATGGACAAGGTAGCCTGAATGCCTTCGCCGTCGCCTGCCCGAGCGTCTTGCCCATATTGAATGACCTTCAACCTCTAGCGACGCCTATTCAGTCAGCTATTCGAGTTCTCAACTCCGCAATCTCCAGTGCGCTCGTATCGAACCCTGCGCTTCTCTCCACGGCCCTTCCTGTCGCCACAAACTTGGTCAGCAACCCTCTCGCTGTTACGTCGGCCTTGCCTACGGCATCGGTGGTCCCCGGCTTGTCGTCTCTCGCATCAAACGTCGTATCTCTTCCAACTGGGGCCGTCTCATCCCTCGCCTCCAACGCCGTCTCTGGACTTCCGCTAAGCTCATTGGTACCGGGAGCTTCCTCTCTGGCCAGCAACGTGCTCCCCGGTGCTTCTTCACTTAACGTCCTCCCCGGAGCTTCCTCCCTGGTCAGCAACATCCTCCCGGGGGCCTCCTCCCTCCCTACGGCAGCGATAAGTTCTGCTTTAGCCTTGTCAAGTGCCGCGGGTCCGCTTAATTCTCTTCTATCCCAGGCCTCAACGAACGTATGACTTCCATCTCGCATCCACTAGAAGCCACGACTGACAATTACTTCCAGCTCCAAATCTTGTCCCAGCTCCCCAGTGCTATAGCACCGATCGAATCCCTTGCGTCACAAGTGGTTAATCCTTCGGTATTGGACTCAATCGCAAGCCAGGCACTCACGAACCCGACGGCCGCTTTGTCTGGACTGAGCTCAGTCATTGCACCGATCAATTCGATGCTGACCCAGTCGAACCCGTTGTCGTCTTTTTTACCCTCAAGCCTTGCTGTTCCTGGTACCAGTGCGCTGCCTTCCGTTTTACCTTCAGGTCTGTCCTTGGGGTCTGTTAGTCTGATCCCAACGACTATCTGCTCGGCCTGTGCCCCTGGAACAACAGGATTGCCCGCACTCTCTGGGTTACAAAGTATCTTGCCGTCGGCGCTTTCGGAGATCCAGTCCCTGGTCCCTACTTCTGGTCTACCACTTCCGACTAGCGCCATACAGTCTATACTCTCGCAGTTGCCGTCAAATATCGCGTCTGCAGTCCAAAGCGACCCTGCGCTGGTCTCCAGTCTCGTTGGATCCCTCCCGTCGTCAATTATCCCATCGGTTCTCAGCGAATTAAGCGATTTGGGCACGCTTCTCCCTACTTCTGGTCTACCACTTCCGACCAGCGCCATACAGTCTATACTCTCGCAGTTGCCGTCAAACATCGCGTCTGCAGTCCAGACCGACCCCGCCTTGGTATCCAGTCTCGTCGGATCTCTCCCGTCGTCCTTGGTGCCCTCGGTTCTGAGCGAATTGAGCGATTTAGGGTCTTTGCTTCCTACGAATCCCCTGACGATCCTGCCTTCGAATCCCTTGACGGCTCTCCCTACCAACCCTCTGACTGATGGAGGTTTCCTGAGCTCTTTGATCGACGAGCTTCCAAGCAGTGTCCTCCCGAGCATCATTCCTACTGATCCAGTAGCGCTGAGCTCGTTCATCTCAAATCTCCCCACTGGAGTGCTCAGTTCTGCACTCGAGGACCTGTCCCTGCCGACAATTCTGCCAACAAACCCGCTGACAAATGGAGGTCTTTTGAGCTCTCTTATTGATGAGCTGCCGAGCACTTTGGTCCCGAGCATTATCCCCACCGATCCTGCGGCACTGAGCTCGTTTATTTCAAACATACCCACTGGTGTGCTCAGCTCTGCACTCGAGGACCTGTCCCTGCCGACAATTCTGCCAACAAACCCGCTGACAAATGGAGGTCTTTTGAGCTCTCTTATTGATGAGCTTCCAAGCACCTTGGTCCCGAGCATTATTCCCACAGATCCTGCGGCACTGAGCTCGTTTATTTCGAACATACCAACTGGGCTGTTGAGTTCGGCCCTCGAGGACCTCTCACTTCCCACCATCCTTCCTACGACTGGGCTGCCCGCTCTCTCATCTGGACTACCTCTTCCGACAAGCGCACTGGAGAGTCTTATTAGTGGCTTACCTGATGCTGTCGAGTCTGCTCTCACCCAGCCGGCCCCGGTCTTGTCTTCTATCCTCGGGTCACTGCCAACGCAACAGGTATCGTCTATATTGGATGATCTCAGCCAAATTTCTCAACTCCAAAGCGCTCTTCCCACAGCTCTCCCATCTAGCATCTTGGCTCCTATCCAAAGCTTGATCAGCGACCTTCCTCCAGCAATTGAGAGTGCTCTTACTCAGCCTCCACAAGTCATCAGCTCTATTTTGGACACCCTTCCCTCGTCCGTGGTCCCTGGAGTGCTCAGTGAGCTTAGCCAGATCGGTTCTATTGCATCAGGCATCCCCAGCGGGATTGAGAGCCTTGTTTCCGCTGTCCCAACCGCCATTGCACCTATTGAGAGCTTGATTAGCGATCTTCCTCCGGCAATCGAAAGTGCTCTTACTCAGCCTCCACAAGTCATCAGCTCTATTTTGGACACCCTTCCCTCGTCCGTGGTCCCTGGAGTGCTCAGTGAGCTTAGCCAGATCGGTTCTATTGCATCAGGCATCCCCAGCGGGCTTGAGAGCCTCGTTTCTGCATCTCTCTTGCCCGCGTTGTCGTCGGATCTTGGGGCTATAAGCTCATTTGCTGCGACGGCAATCC